CTCCGAGCAAAGTCACATCCCCGATCAGGGTCCTGAGAGTTTGTTTGACCGCTGCGATGGTGTCTCCTAACATGGCGAACGTCTCGATGGTCAACAAATTTTTGTTCGCGACCAGCTGACACAAATCCTCAGGAACTCTCTGTCTCCCGAAGATCTGACGAAGCGGCAAGTCCGGCGTTTTGGCCGCATCGTAAGTGGTGCGATCGACCATGGTGAACTCTTGAGTGAAAAACACTGCATGAAAAACTGAGTCAACCCTGCCCCCTCGAGCGTTGACGACCGTCCGAGACGACCCGAGCTGGCGAACAACTTTTCACGATGAGGCGGGTGCATTCTGACCTGTCTGAAAAGCGATCACTACATCAGGTCTGGCCTTCGCGCAGGCTTTGCACAGGACTTCAATGTCTGGCAAAACTGAACCCACGGCGGAACAGTCGTCCAGAGCCAAACGTCCACATGCGAGCGCTGAAGGATCGTCCAGTGCTGAACAGTGAAAGCGGTGTTCATACGAACTAGCAGACGCAACGTTCTTGATAAAGAACTGGGGCGTGGCTTCTTCAATGACCCCTGCATCGACTAGTTCGACTTCCTCGGATTCGTCCACTGCCTGTGAAGCTGCGAGGTCCTGAACAAGTTGGTGAATCATACGAGCAGGGACGGCCGAGCGGTTCCTAGTGTATTTCAACACCAGGGGCCCGGGGTTCTTCCAATTTGCCTGCAAGCCGATCTCCTCTGTGGAGCGGCCTGCATGCACCGCAGCATCGAGCATGGTCACGCGAGCGGAGTGCACGGTGAGATCTAAAATCTGCCTAGCACTTTGAGACCACTCTGGCTTGGACCGATCGCCCCCGTAGCGGTCAAGCGCTTCCCGCGCTAAGACTTTCAGCCACTGGGTCGCTCGACTGTGTGTGGGAGGAACCTTCAAAAATTCATCACGACTATTCAGTTCGGGGACCCAAAAGTCACGATCGAGTTCAACACGACGAAACAAATCCCAACCGGTGACCAACCATAAGGGATCCCTGAACCCAGCGTTTGGGACGGCGAACCGTGTACCGCGGCGCTTACGCTCGACCTTCGTCTGCCACGCCAAACCGAAGAGCCCAGCATCTTTCATACTAAGATCCTTCGGCTTGACGTGTTTGCCATCGTCAAAACGGAGCGAGGCAAAGATTAAACAAAGCCACCGCCAGACAAAAATCCGAGCGGCCACCGGAACACGGTCATCAGTCACCAAACACTCAAGACACTTAACCACGAGCAGTGGGATGGGAACGGCTTCCTTCAATGTTTGGGCACGTTTCGTGATCACCTCCTGCTGAAGTGCCAAGAGGCTGGGTTCGTCCAGATCGGGGCATTCAATGACCAATCTAGACGTGACCCATTTGATGGCTGTTCTCAAGGTGGGGAGCACCGTGGGACCACATTCATGATCATCTAAAAAGAGCATGTATTTCACCACCTTGGGAGTTGTAAGGGGGAACACCGGAATTCCCTCCTTGTTGAGCCATGTCTCGAACTTTTCAAAAATTCTAACATACGAAGCAATCGTCCTAGGAGCACCGGCGGTCAGTACAAGTTGTCGTAGGCGATCGGACTCTGCCGGTGACAAGCCGTCACCAGTCTGTGGATCCTCCCAGAGCCTAGACGCAGAACCTGCACGTTTGCCGATCTGTTCAAGACGAGCTGCCCACTTCCTACGCTCAGCATTCTCCCGATCAAGGAGGGGGGTGGAACTCACCGCTTCGCCAGCTCCTGTGTCATGAACTCTCCTTGGGGCTTTCGCCTGATGCTTGAACAAGTCCTGGACCGCTGCTGCTCTCTTGGCTCTAGCTGTGTCAGGCGACAACGCGATCGTGCCGCTCGGCTCACACATGCCGAAACCAATCTGGTGAGCAGTGGACTCAAAGAAGTTCTTCTCCACGGATCCTACTAAAGACCAGAACTGTTCTAACAACAGAGGATGCTTCAGGAGCTCTTCTGCCGCAGCAGCGTCGAGCGACGGTGCCCAGTCGGCCACCTTTGCTACGAACGTTGCAGCCGAGCCTGCCTCCATCGACGCGACAAAAGCGACATTGGCGAGGGGCGTCTTTGAGAGCGCCTGAGTGAACGATTCCGTGAAAACAGGCAGTGACAAAATCTTTCTGACCCAACGATCGATGCCTTGAGCCATGATTTCTGCCTATATGCGGTTGATGCGATCTCAAGAACAAAAATCGACTCTGACACTCTTTGATCTAACATCCATTCAATGCATAAATTGAGTTCTCACAAACGATCGTGGCAACTCATCAGCACACAAGTGCCTACGAGCCTAAGACCTGAAAGCCTCAAGACAACACCACGACCGACACTGGATCCCAGCGTGTACCCCCAAAGAAGCTGACCCAAGACTGTGGCCAGTTTCTTTGGGAGCGAACGCACTGAGATCCCGCGGCGAGCTGGGTGCATTTACCTGAGGTCAGGTTCACGATCCACTAATGAGCAAGCTAATCGAACGAGTGACTTCGCGAACCGCTCACAGTGCAGCTGGAAAGAAAAGGGCAGAACCGGCATCATGAAAAGACTCTAGAGCCGGCATCAATCCTTCCCTCCATGACTGAAAGAGCAAAACGCAAAGCACATTTATGGCACTCGCGATCAGCAAGGCCTCTGTGTTGAGAAACACTGAGACCGATCTTTCTTGAAATCAAAAAGGGATCAAATTGGATCCAAAGGTTCAGACCTCCTCAATTGACGGGCCAGAACCAGGGCCGTATGATCGCGGCGCCCCAGCTGAGCGTCTGGAGCTGTGACCTTCGCGATCGCCAGCTTCTGAAGAAACAAACTCATCAGGGGGCAGGGCCGCTGAAAAGCGAAGGGGGTCGATATGACCCTGCATCGCCCGACCAACACCTTCTACAAAAGCATGAGGGGTCACTGCGGCCTCAGCCATGCGTTCGCTGTTCCGAGTGTCGAGCGACCTCCGGAGGACGTGAATCGCACTCCCGCTCAATGAAGCTGGTGCAGGGGCTTCACCTGGCTGAGTGATCGACACTGGCGTGTCCCTCAAACTCTGAGCAGGCATGGAGCTCACCTGATGTCCCACCAGAGCTCGCACCGAACTGGTCTGCTTCGAAACAGGCTGAGCTGATGGTCCCCCGGTCACTGGAGGCAAAATCATCGTTGCTCGCTCGAGCTCAGGATCGTGGTACTGCAACGCCAAAGCGTCCGTTGGGACGATCGCCTTCTCCATCTGGTACAGCGGAGCCTCACAGGTCAGATGCAGGTTCGATGGGTGGGATTCCACTGCCACTGCACTGACCCTTGGACCACAATCACCGAGCTCATTGGCGTGCATAGCCGCCGTCCAGTGAGCATGGATACCAGCTAGTTGTGAGAGCTGCATGATTTGATCAGGCCCTTCAACTCGAGCGAAATGACGTCGACACCACTCAGCATTCCGAACGAGCGTCGGACCAGACACCCGAGACACCATGAGCCAGGATGCAGGTGCCGCCACTGACGAACATGCGATGTCGAGCTTGTCTCCAGCCGACACGAACCGCATTTCCATGCGGTCCGCGTCCCACCCGAACGAGTCTGCAGAGGAGATCGAGACCAACCTCAGTTCGAAGTGGCACAGCGGATGATCCAAGGCGACGACAACGCCTCCGTCAGAACATGCATACAGCCGCCCACCGACCTCGAACGAGATGGCCACCACTCTCCAGCCCTGGAAGACCGTCACAACGATCGAGGGGACGAACAGGAGGTCAGCCAAGCCCGGAACCAAGGCATCATTGATGTAGTTCAACTGAACCGTCATATCTTTATCTGAACGATACCCCCGAAGCTCAAGATGCAGAAGGAGGGATCCCTCCACCTTCACCTTCAGGTCGACCCAGGTCGCCGAATCATCTCGCATGAGGGGCCACCTGAACGGCTGAAAAGCCTGATGAGCAAGAACAGCGCCGGTCTGGCCATCCCACTTGGCTGCAGGAACACTGCTGTACGAACTCATCGAGCCCACCAAAATGAGCTTCCTGCCGTCCAGAGTGCGAACGTAGAAGATGTTCAGATGGTACCCAGCATTGGGCGATCGCACTGAGGTTCGCTCCGAATGAATATTGATGCCCGCCTGGGCGTTGACCAAAATTTCGTCTAGGAGCCAGCCTTGATACGGGCTTTGCAGACGTTGATCACGGCTGTCAAGAACAAGTACCGATCTTTCACCATCTGCTGAGCCGATCTGGCGCAGGTACGTTGGGAGCTTGAAGTTCACTGCACTGTGTCCAGGGTGTGGAACTTGGCCCCATCGAACACGATTCGCTCCTTTCCGATCGGCGCTCTCTTGCTGCCGCCTCAGGCGACGAGCTGCTGGTGTCTCATTCACTCCACCGAGCAGGTTTCTCGCGGCCTGAGTTGGTGGAGCCGCTGCGCTAGCTGCCGGGTAGGCCGTAGCTGGCTGATCAGCTTCAGGCTGCACAGCCCAAGGGTCATCAGGGGTCGGCTCCGTTTTCTTCTCATCGATCGTGGGCATTGCCTTGGGGAGTGGCTGCTCGATGATCGATCCTGAGGGTTCGACAGTCAACTTCGTCCAAGACACACCAGATCCAGCGTTTGACCCAACTGACGAAACACTATCGTCTGGGAGGATCTGCTCAGCTGCTCTGGCGTGGGCCATGGCGAACTGCCTCTGTAGAGCTGCTGGAGGAGCCTTCCTTGGCAAGGGAGGTGGAGCCTTTCTGGGGGCTCCATCGGTGCCGCCTGAACCAGGTGTAGCAGGAGGAGCCTTTCGAGGCGCACCATCAGAACCAACACCAGACATGGCTCAAAGATCCCAGGCCCTAACTGAACAGCTCAATCCAACCCTCAAAAAGAGAATGGATCTTTGGGCCTTTGAGGCCAAAATGGCAAAGGAAATGAATCATCGATCGAATCAGGATCAACATCTAACAAAGTTACACAGTTGTACCAAACCAACCTTACCGCAAACAACTGCACAACTGCTGAGGCACCTTTGCTGCTGCTCTGAAAAGCTCCACTCCATTGTCGGAGAACAGCGCGTCCTGTATATCATGCAGAAAAATGACACGCAACAAAACTTGCCATTCATGGTAGATGGCCATGCGCAAAAAGCTTTTAGACGAACAAGTGAGTTGAGCAATTGTACACCCCTGGCTGTGCCATGCTGTGCCATGTCAACTGCTATGACTCAGAAAATGCATCCGCCGTTCCTCCAAGAAGACGAGGCCAGCTTTGGCACCTCGCTTCGCATCACCACAGTTGAAGTCGCCATCCTCGCAGCAACGTCGTCCGGCGGCCCAAAACTCCACCGTACCTCAGGCAGAGGATCTTTCTATGGGTATCAAGTGCATTCAAATCACGATAGTCAACTCGAACAAGTTTGCTTTCTCTGGTTTATGTGCTACGAACAAACACTGTTTGCCATGCCGCTATGCTTTAGTTCGGTGAGTTCACTCTTGACACAAATGCACAAACAAAAACCGATTTCGATCCCAGCGTGACCGATTTCGATACCTCACCTTGTGTCGCCGCCTTGCTCACCAAAGGTGCAACACACAGCAGCTCTGTGCCTGCAAACGCTCAGCTTCACATGCGCAAGAGTACCAAAACACGCTGCTGTCACAGGCGGCAGAATCCGATCGCATTCGTCTCATGGAGCTTCAAAAGGGTCTTGAGAGCGACTGGATTCGATTTCGGGCCTTCTCGATATCCGGTTGCATGTTCAAAGTCCACGATGACATCCTGACGAGAATTGAGACGGCAGAAAGATGCAGAAAGTGTTGATTTCAGATCATCGTCCAATCTTGCAATTTGTGCGGTGATCTGGACCATGGGCAAAAGTTCCTGGAAATTGCTTGTGATCGGGGTCTCTTGGCCGAGCTGCATCACGAAATGCCAGCTTCCCGGCATCTAAGAAGGAGGTGGCACGATCACTCGCTGCCAGGTCGCTATAGGAACTTTGGCCCTTCGGCAAAAGCAGGGAGAAAAAACAATCAGCTTCCAGAACCAAAGATGTTGAAACATGGGTGTGCGCTGGAATAGGGAGACCCAACAAATAATGGGCGTTGTATAGTATAGTCAATGCCAAATCAAGTGTCCTTTACCAGTGAGTCTTTGAAGGTCTCCCTGTTTTCGTACATCTCTCGGCCTCATAGGCCCAGTATTTGTAGATGTTCCTGCTGTAGTTCCAGAGGCCACAGGCACAGGCGAGAACCGTTGCTATGAAGCAAAGGCTGCCTGATGACGTCCCCAAGTGTCTCAAAAAGAGGGAAAGACACGTCTTGCTGATACTCAGAGAACCGAGGAATCTTGCAGCCTGCGTGGAACCAGAAACGTGGACCATCTCGGGACTGCCTGTCTGACCAGAAACAACTCCGTAATTTTCACAGGTTGAAGTGTGAAACATGTTAAGGCAAGTGATGTGCTTCACGTACGCACTTGTGCACAACTTTTCCTGCCTTACGACCATGAAGAGCAGAGACACACAGAGATAAAGCAAAGCCAGAGACCAGGTAAGTCCAGGAAATGAGCGAAAGGTAAAGCTGCAAAGCACCTGAAAGAACTATTGCAGTTCACACCTAGAATGTATGCACCTTCTAATGCACTTTCTTCTTTGCTGACATCTGTCTTTGCTTCTTTTGGCTTGTTCTATTTAAGGCCCATGCAAGCAAAGATATAAACATCAAGAAGGGTAGCAAGACCAGAAACCCAAGACTCCTATCAGGGAACACAGAACATATACAATACAGTAGTGAATGGCTTAGTTCTAGCCTGAACCATGGTTACAAATTGCATATTGGTGCATCAAAGATCTGTCGAATAGGAAGGCCTGTGTAGAGGCAAGTTGTAAGCATATGTAAGTATGCTGTTGAGTTCTGTTCTAACAGCTTGATGCTCCGAAGGCAAGTAGACAAAGTAGACAAGAGCTCAGTTTCTTAATCAAGTGCCTTGCTGAAAAGGTACTCGCAAAAGAAAAACACATTGACATGCTGGATCTGCGTGCCCAAAGAAAAAACTTTGCTCATTGCCTGAGCTCGTTTTGCTGTTTCCTGCAACGAGAGGTCTCTTTAAATTTCCCCGCAGAATGTCTCCTGGCATGATAGCTCAGAGGCCGTGCCGGCAGCAAATCACGGTACATGGCATGGCGGCGCTGAGGAGATCCAGCTCATGAGAAGGTCTCTTAAATTGGTTTTGTTCTCAATGGATGTTTCAATAGCGGTATTCGACATTGCGCCCATCCGAGATCATAAAGGGAGCTGTTTGCTGTCCGCTCATCAAGCTTCGATGTCGTCTCTAAAAATCTGTTCCGAATGCTTTAAATGTCACATGTTTAATGTCCTTAAGTGTCCTTCACATCTCTTGAGACGTTCAACTTCAGGAAAAGTTCTGTGCAAAGCTCATGAAAATCATCAAAACTCAACGCCGCAAGGACCGAAAGTCCCCTAAGCACCATGTCATACCATGTCTTGGTGCCAAGGGGGCTTTTGTTGTCCTGTCCAACATGCATTTGTCGACTCATTTGACTCATTTGTATGTCAAAACAGACCCACCTCGATCAAAACCCATCTCTTCCACTTCCTTAGGGCCAAGCATTGAAGGTTCAATCAACATTTTAACCAGGCCGTTGTCGATATCAGCTCTGTAAGCCCCTTTTGTTTTCGAGTTGGGGCTTCAACATCACCTTCCGATCTTTGTGAATCTCAAGCCCTGCGCTTCCAGTTCAACTTCTTTAGCCTCCTTCAGCGCCACCCGGATTCCCTGCCTGAGAAGATGACTCAAAAGCACATCGGAGTCGTTCAAAAGCTCACGAGAGGACCACGAAAAAGGCCACTGGTTTCACTTATGTAACTTGACGGAAGACTCGGATCTCGGAAGACTTTTCTGGCTGACTCCGGTGCCTATTGGATCGCATAATCAGTAAGACGAGCTCTTTCGAGGGCAGAACTTCAGTTCTTGCAGGCCACTCTGAATGGGTGCAATGTCCTCCAAGGTGTGGAGAGTTTACTTTTTCGGAAGGCTTCTTCAGAATAGAACCTTCTTTGATTGATATATTTAAATATATATATATATATTGATATATATATATATCTTTTGGATATATTCATCTAATGTATAAATTTGCAGATGTAGATATATGATATATGATATAAATATATATATATTGAAACATAGATCAAGCACTTCGTCAGGGTTGATCCATGCAGCAACACCACTGTGTTGAGTATTCTCATGCATGTTGTATGGAAAAAAAAACGCTCAAAGACATCTTTTCCAAGGGTCAAACTTGAAAACAAACTCCTGATGCACGTTGAAGGCCACCTGTTGTTTAAGCTCTGTGGGAGCCCGCCAAGGCCGACCTTTGGGTCTTGAACACCTGGGCGAACGGAGGCAGGCTGCTCTGCGTTTCGTCATGCTTCTTGTTCCTAGTAGCGATGGCGTCGGCCTGCTAAGCCGCCCTTTGCTACTAGTAGCGATGCCAGGAGCCCCTAGTAGCGTCCTTGCTCCTAGTAGTAAGGCCAGGAGCCCCTAGTAGCTTCTTGTTCCTAGTAGCTCCTTGCTCCTCTGCATGTTAATCGTCCAACACCGGTAGGGTCGGAGGTGTCTACGCTCGGTGCCCGGGGAATCGGACTGTAGTAGGGCAACGAGTTCACTGATCGTGACCACCTTGGTGGACAGGGCAACGAGTTCACCTGATGTGCCACTGACGTCCGTGGATGAAGTCGCTCTAAGGGCTGTGCATCTGAAGACCTGCCCACAGCGAGCGGCTCGTCCCGATCGCACGCTGTGGGACATTCTTGCGGAAACACCATCGCCTAACATCCAGCAGATCAAAGATGGCCAAAGTCTCTTCTTCGGAGAGCTTGATTTCAGCCTCGAGAAAACTCACTCCCGGCAGAAAGGGTTAGATGTTTGAGGCTCGAAGAAGGATGCTTCAGGCTTAAGGCTTTCACCTGCTTCAGGCTTGCAGCCTGGCAGTGCCGAGTGCATGTGAATCAGGCGGGCGCAAAGAGCTGTTTGTGGCTCAGCCATGAGTGCAACTTTGCATGGTTGCATGTTTCACATGTCTCCATGGTTCTGAGACACACTGTTTACAGTAATCTTGGAGCTCGCTCAGGTGTCAAGGTAGCAGTTAAGCTACACAATCATGCAATCCACATCCAACTTGACGCATCTCATTGGCCTTCCCGACATCTGTCGCAGTCAGTATCTCCCACTATAGTGATGCTCAAGAATAGGTGTCACGGTGTCACTGTTTGGACACAAATGTTGAAAGCCTCTGACTTTCTGGATCAAATCGAAAACACGTTCAGCCGCAAGTAGCTGAGCACCTAAAATGATGTTGGGCTTCTAGCATCGCTGTTTTTGCCAACGTTTCCTGATTCGGTGTTCTCAAATGTTCTCAATGGCTTTCAATGTAGTCTTCCACTTGGCATGGGTGTGGTTGAAGCCCCGCAGCCAGGAAACATTCTCCACAATCTCTGTGTCCATGAAATGCACTCATCTAAGCTGGAACCTTTCCCACAGCCAAGTCCCCTCAACTGATCAATGGCAAAGAGCAGCTGTTCATTCGCGATGCAAAGAAGCACAGGCGGTTGCCGTTTGAGACGCGAAGGGACGCGTCTCATGCATCGCACATCCTTCTTGTGCCAGCTTGGCACGATAGGCGATCATGCCAAGCTCGGCCGAAACGAATCTATCAATGATCCATTGTAGGGATTGTCCGATTGAACCATCACGATATCCAAAAGGAATCAAATACTGGGTGGCTGAGATGATGGCAGCAATGCCCAGGACACAAAGGTCCGGTTCAATATTGCGATGACCTCTGCGGCCCAATACTTGCGTTGATTTTGCAAGCCTGAGCAGTCCATCTCAATCCTTGGCCCTTGGCCTGCACGGCGTTCATTTGGATCAAGCCATGCACCGGATGAGCTTCGGGTTACTGTCCTATACATGTTCTCAGGTGTCTTACCTAGGCTGTCGCAAAACAGCTTCTGCTCGAGCAACTTCCTCAACAGCACCTCGATGTTTCAGCGCAAACCGTGCCTGCTCACCCCCTTGTCTTGAGCTTCAGGCAAGAGGACGCTACGAACGGAGCCAAGGGCATCGCTCCGAACATCTCCGAACGGAGCAAGGACGCTACGAACGGGGCTCCTGGCCTTACTACTAGGAGCAAGGACGCTACTAGTAACAAGTGCATCGCT